ATTCTCTCAATTGTTATTTACCAAACATAGATTTTACTATATACACAATTTGCCAGGAGTCAAATATCTCATTCAAGTAGTTTGTCAAACATACCTATTTATTTCATACTCATCAATATTCAATTTACTCAACCAATCTCTTTAGCTCTCACGAAAGAGCAATCTCTACACCCAACATAGCTCGTCCAGAGAGCACTCATAGCTCTCAAGATAACTCCCACCTGGTGTGACTAGTGTCACGCCTAACAAGGTAGCCAACAAGGACTCCCCTGGAGTCCTTATGTTCGGTAGGCCTCAATCCACACTCGACGTGAGTATCATAGAGACTTGTGGCCTCAAAAGCGCTTGGCGAGACATGTCCCTCACTCAAAGTAGACCAAATAGAGAGCGGACTCTACTCTTGGGTACTACAACACTCGGCAAGATGCGAAAGTGGCACCCAATGCCATATCAAAAAAACCAAACCTGCAAAATTGCAAAACATATGGTTTACAAACAAAAACTTGCATAAAACAATTCATTTGGTAAAACACCCACAAGAACCCATAGACAACTTATATAATTACAAATTATATCAACTCAGGAGCAATACATGGGAGGAAAATAAACAAGAACAAAAAAACAATTGAGATTTCTCCTTTTCATACAACGCATACAATATACAGAGGTTAGGGCCCAACCTCACTATACTCATCAGTTACCCCATGTCCTAGAGCAAGAATTATCATTTTCCCCTTACCTCAATCAACAAATAGAAAAGAACGTGGGTCTTTGGGATGATCTCCTCCTATCTTCTCTCCTCCTGGTTCTTGCGTCTCTCTTTTTAATAAATTTAAACCTTATTCATCCTCCTCTAACTTATCCTTAGTTACTCATTTATAATTCTAGTTACCTATTCCTTCTCCACTTTAATAATAATAATAATAAATAAAATAAATAAATAATATTATTATAATAATATAAAATATAATCATCACATAATTTACTCAAAATAAATATATAAAATATAATTTCAAGATTAAAGTATTCTCTGACATCCACCCTTTAAATTTTATAATAAAATATATATTATTAATTTAATTAAAAAACGTAGGTGTTACGAATGTTCTTGGACGTATTTTTACATTTGGGAGGGGAAAGAATAGGTTTTAAGGGTGTTTTTGAAACTTTTGAAGGGTGAAAATAACAACTGGTATAGTGTAAATAAAAGCTTTATTCTTGTTATTTTTATTTTCCCTAAAAGGCACACTACTAGAAAAGGGTCATTTTCATGCGAATTTTTCTGCAAAAAAATATTTGCAGATATTTTTTGCGAATTTTCCTGCAAAAAAAATAATCGCAGAATTTTTTTGCAAATTTTCCTACAAAAAAATATTCGTAGAATTTTTTTGCGAAAAATAATTTGCAGATATTTCTTACAAATTTTGCTACAATTTTAATGATCATAGAAAAAAAAATTTCATGGTAAAAATTCGTAGAAAATATTGTAAGAATTTTATTTTATTTCTTTCAGATTTTCTTGCAAAAATAAATTCGCAAGTAATGTTTACTAAATGATAAAAAAAATTTGCATGTAACTTTTCCTGCGGATTTTTTTGCAAATTTTAATACGCAAGAAAAATAAAAAAGTATATATTTAAATTTATAAGTTTAATATTTTTAAAAAAACTTCAAGTCCCACATCGATTGAAAATAAAACAATTAAAGAGTATATAAGTTGGGGCAATACTTACCATATAAGTTAATTTGTATAGTTGAGTGTTAGGCTTATAATCTACAATCTTATAATTTAAAAGATTATATATCACATGTTGGAGGCATGGAAACAAATGCTTCGAATGAATTCATTGTGAGTATTTGAAAGTTGAAGAATTATTGATAGAATTAATAGTAATTTCTTTAATTTTTTTGTAAAATCCTGCAGAATTTCTTGAGAAAAAATTCACAAGAAACTTTCCTGCAAATTTTTTTTGCAGGAAACTTTCTTGCAATTTTTTTTTTGCAAGAAACTTTCCTGCGAATTTTTTTCACAAGAAATTTTGCAGGAAAACTTCCTGCGAATTTTAAAATTCGCAAAAAATATATTATTCACAAAGGTATTACTTGCAGATAAAATTTTGCAGAAAAATTTGTAGGAAGAGCATTTCTTGCATTAAGAGAAATTCTAGTAGTGGCATGTAGTTGTATAACTGGACCTTGTATTATGATTCGGTAATAAAGTGATTTTTTTGAAGAATATCATTAAAAAATCTAAATATTTTTAGTTATTTTTGTTTCTTACAAAACTTTACCTTTTAGAACTATCTATAACAAATCCTGATTATTAGGTAAAGCAAAAAAATAAAATATCACTAAACTAAAAAGTAAATATCCGTCTGTGTTTACAACTTTGTTTTTCCTAACACAAACCACTTTTTACTAATTTACAAGTTAAATATTGAGTTTTTTACTCAAATAATACATTTTGAAAATTTTTTTACCCAAATAGCAACTGTGCAAATTTATTTCCTCAACTAGTACCATTCAGTGTTTACATTTTTTTTAAATTTTGTTTTGGACTCAGGTGATCTGTGAATTTTGCATTTGGAACGACCCGTTCTGCAACTAGAACGAGCCGTTCTAGAGTTGAGTTTTATCTCATAACCTCAATGTTGGAACGACCCGTTCTAAAATAGGGATTTTAGCCCTTTTTAGTAGTTTGAAACGGGCCGTTCTGCTTTTGGAACGACCCGTTCTGCTTTTAGAACGACCCGTTCTGGCCATTTCTATGCATTGTCTTCTTTTATCAATGTAATATGAATTTTAATGTTTAAGATTTTTACTTTTAATGCACTATGTCACTTATAAACTATTATAAGTATATTATTTGAACATGTTTTCGTAGTGTGATGAGCAGGCTATCCATATTTTTCATTATTAGTCACAGTTTGACTCGTACAAGTTTCGAATCTATTAAGACAAGGTTCCATTATTATCATCTCGTGTTTTCAAGTTTAAGACACTATAGCTTCATACTTTAAAGGTGTTTCCTTTAAATCTAGCTTCAAACTTAGCATTGTGGCGAACACAATTTACTCTTTCAACACAAACACAACGTAGTCTCAAAGACTAACGTCAAGTAATTAAATTTATTGAATATTAACACTATAAATATAACTAAATAAATTTATTAAAACTCATTACAACAATAAAATCAATGGTGGCGGGTACTAAATCCATGACCAATATTTGGACATGTCTTCCTAGTGTGACCAGAGGTGTGACAATAGGAACAATTTTTTACACGATTATGTTGTTCTCTAATGTCCATCTCTGTTCTAATCCTGTTGGACTTTGGCTGACCCTTGGAAGTCCTCTTAAGTTCTGGATTTGGCCACATAGTTGGTTGGACCAATGTAAGTAGGCCAATAATCTTCATGTCGGAGCTCTAACATGAAGGACAGTTTGGAGAGCTCCGACATGAAGATTATTGGCCTACTTACACTAGTCCATGTGGCCAAATCCAGAACTCAAGAGGACTTTCAAGGGTCGGTTAAAGTCCAGCAGGATTAGAACAGAGATAGACATTAGAGAACAATATAATTGTGTAAAAAATTCTTATTGTCACATCTCTGGTTATATTAGGAAGACATGTCCAAATAATGTATAATTATAATAGTTTATAAGCGACATAGTGCATTAAAAGTAAAAATCCTAAACATTAAAATTCATATTACATTGATAAAAAAAAATAGGGCATAGGAGTGGCCAGAACGGGTCGTTCCAAACTACTAAAAAGGGCTAAAATCCCTAGTTTAGAACGGGTCGTTCCAACATTGAGGTTATGAGATAAAACTCAACTCTAGAACAGCCCATTCTGATTTAAGAACGGGCCATTTCAGATGCAAAAAAAAAAAAAACACACGAGAGTGCATGCAGAACGGCCCGTTCTGGTTGCAGAACGAGTCGTTCCAGATGCAAAATTCACAGATCACTTGGGCCCAAAATGAAAAAGAAAATTAAAAAAATGCGAACAGTAAATGGTGTTAGTTGGGAAAATAAATTTGCACAGTTTCTATTTGGGTAAATTTTTTTAAAAATGTATTATTTGTGTAAAAAACTCATTAAATATTACCTATTTTCATTTTTAACAGTCATTAAGGCTTTTTTACACAACAAAAAATACAACATTTTTTTTTGTTTTTCTTAAAATAATTTTAGTGTTTTCTATTATATGTCCTTTTTCATTTTCACTCTATAATAAAATACACATAAATTGTGAATGAAAATCAATTAAAAACAAGATAAAAAATAAGAATATAATTGAATAAAAAATAATAATGTTTTTTTTAATTTAGAAAACGACACATTAAAAAAAATACTTTACTAAAAATCCAACAGTATAGAAAGAAAGGGGCCGGGAGTAGGAAAGTACAAAGAATTTAAATTATTTTATTATGATAATCGAAAAAATCTAAACTTCCAAAGGCAAGGTGAATTAATTTTATTTTGAGGTATTAATTAGGAAATAAATGTACTAATTAATAGGAGAGGTGGGTTTGAATAAAAGAACAAATAGCATAGGATTTATAGTTGTTGTAGACCGGACAAATTTGATTTCTAATTAGCATATTAATTAATCCGCTTAATGAAACATAAGTAGCCGTAAAAGAGCAGCTTAATTTCTTCATATAAATAAGGCCATCCCATTTTAAAAAATAGAAGGGAAAGTAGTTGAATTAATTAAGTTATTCAATTTATAGCCTAAATGGTTTAATATTTGAATTCTTTTATAAAAATTGGTGCTGAATTTCAAATATGAAGTTGCATATTAGAATAAATACTATTTTATTAAATTAATATATATTATTCAATTTTCTATACTTTGCATATAGTCAACGTGAACTAACCATCCAAACTTTTCCACAAGTCACAGTTACCACTGCCTTATATCTTTGAAAGCAACTTATTCCATTGTATATGATAAAAACTATTTCCTTCTTTAGAGTCACACAGTATCTGTATTGTTACACACATTTTGTTTGGCCAATGGCTTCCCTGCTTATTCACCTCTCTCCTATCCTTATTCTCCATCACTTAATTATCCTCCTCATATTGATTCAGATACCTCCATATTCAAGCTCCAATGATGATTATAAGGATTGTACTAATCCGATCAGTTGTGGGAGTATAACAAACATAGGTTTTCCATTCTGGGGAGAAAACCGCCCTAGAGAGTGTGGCCACCCTCTGATGCAACTCACCTGCGTAAAAGCCACCAGCTACATAACCATTAATGATGTCAGGTACCAGGTTTTGGATGCAAACCCTGATAAACATACTTTGAGAATCACTAGAGTGGATTACTTGCGAGACTTGTGTCCAATACTACATGTCAACACCAACCTTGACACTCATCTCTTTGTTTATGATTCAAACTACAATAATCTTACCCTTTCCTATGGTTGTGCTCCTTCGATGAATAGACTCCCTTGTAATGAGGGTTCTAGTGAATATGTTTATCCTCAGTTAGGGTCTCTCCTCCCTCGACCATTTTGCACAGCAAGTGTGGTTGTTCCAGTTTCTCAGTCATTGGTTGATATTAATGATTTCAACCAAGTAGACAATGCAATCATGGAAGGATTTGTGGTGAGATGGATAGTAGGAATTGAAGAATGTGACAGGTGTAAAACATCAGGTGGAGTATGCGGTTTTGACTGGTATGCAAATCAAACATGTTACTGCAGAGATGGAGCTTGTTCTAATTTCTTACCAGATGCCAAAGCACCTTCAGATTCAGGTACCTCTAAGTTCATTGCTGATTAATATATATTTCTGTTTCGCATTTGATTAGGACTAGGTTTTGAGCTGCTTTTGTTTATCTCTCTATACCAACCAAATGTTGATCCAATATTCTAATGTGAACATGTCACTTAATTTGTCTTGTTCATTCTTTGAACAGACAAAATAAACCAACTGTTTGGTTGGTTGAGTTGATTCCATTGTAAACCCCATCCACAATGGCTCTTGATTTATCATGTTGGTCAAAGTACACGCTGGTCTTATTCCTTGTGTTGTGCCTTAGTCCATGCTATTGGCTTTTGGTAGTTCTCAAGTCACAAACTGAAGACACTTTCATCTTAATTTTTTTCCACACGATCTAGAGGCCTTTGATTAGGGTAAAAAAGTCACTATTATATTTGGAAATTGAATGAAATTGGGAGGAAAGAGATGGAATGGGAAATGGTTATCTTTTTTTCTGATCCAAATTGCCGTCACGACATTGACCAATTGTGATTGGTGAAGCGCTTCAACAATTCTCACATTAGAGCCTCAATTTTCTCTCATAAAAAATGAATGACCTGTTTCTAATTCTGGCGTTGATTACTTTTTCTATAACGCAGATGCTGTGATACTTCCGTCTTAGACTATTATTTCTTTTTTCTCTCAAAATATCCTTAGTTAATTAACAATTTTATAAGCAAAACATAATAATAATAATAATAATAATAATAATAAATGATAAAAATTAATGAAATAATTTCAGGATTAAAGAAAATAATTAAATAAAATATTCAAATATTGATTAATTAATGAAGTGAAAATAAAAAGATATTAATGTTAAATATATTACAAGTAATTTTGAAAAAACAGTTATAATTATTGATAAATTTAATGTTACTAATTAAATTAACAAGCTCTCTTAAATGATTTAAATCAGTTAAAAAATATTATATATAAGAATCAATATTTTTAAAATCAAATTAGTCATTGAATAGATTAATATATTGGTTTAAAGTTCAATGTTTAATCATGATCAAACTGATATTAATTAATAAAAAATGTTATTAAATAACACTAAAATATTATTAAATAAATACAATATCATTTTTTTTACATCGCAAACAAGACAATATTTTATATGTGCTTATATTCGAAGTACAGTTAGAAGTTCAACTCAAATATATCTTATACTTAGTTCGAATATTTAAAATTATAATAAAGAAAGATGTAGAGCCAGTATTATATTTCATCAAAATTTGATAGGTCCATCAATTAAGTTATGTCGGTAACTTTGATAATTTGTATCATTTCTAAAAGTAAGTGGTCATCTTGACTAACTATGTTACTCATGAAGTCTCAAATTGTATGAAGGAAAAAATAATCAACTAAATTAGGCTTAGTATTTTTCTTTCTTAAATAATAAATTAAACTTTAGTTATTGAATTTATGGAAGTCAAAAGAATATTTTATTCTTATTTTTACTTATACGTTGTCTATAGCCACTTTTTTTCTTGTGTGTATACAAACATTCTTTGAATAATAGAAAATAGAACAATGAAATGTAAATACTTCATCAGTTTAAACATATATTTCATTAATATTTATTATTATCTTCTATGATTATTTTCTTATTATGTTGCTGTATTATTTTTCATACTTAACCAATATTTTATCTTGTGCAATTCGCGTATATGTTTATTATGTATACTATAATTGAAATTTATAATAAATTATATATAAATAAATATTATGTTTGAATATATATATTTTATTTAAAATTAGTATACATAAATATATATTTGTAAACATATAAATTATATTTTAGATTTATGATAAATCTAAAATATAAT